AGTCAATTACCAAAATTTGGATGATTTTGAATATTCACTTGAAAAGTTATCAAAGAAAAACATTTTTCATTTTGTAACTTCGAGGGCCCGTAACTTGGTTACGAAGACTTTTAGGAAAAAAAGTTATATGAAGTACTGGTGATATTTTGACCCCATCTATACATTCCCGAGAGGAAAAGAGGAAGTCCAGGGACACCCTGTATATATTCACAGTCCATCAGCCATGTTACTTCGCAGAATCATCCCGAGATAAATTCCCCTGAGAAAAAGGTTTTTTTCGCTTATATGTCAAGGAATTTATCAAAAGCACTTTTCGATAGATAACATCATCTTGTATGTACTCTTGATCCTATTCCTGGATTAACGTGGAATAACAGGTTTTGTTTTGCTCTCAAATGTCTTCTAGTATAAACTCAGTCTGTGAAAAGTATAGAAAAATGATTTCAAAATTCAATCTTTCAACCCTATATGAATTGATTTTCTGTACGAACTATTTATCCCAAATAGTTTCATACCATAAGTGAATATTGTCTTTGCTGTAGTTGCCTTCTTGTGATTTCACATAATATTTCCTTTTTGTTTTCGAATGAACCGTACATATTTCTTTTGTTCCCGTGTGGGAAATATTACAAAGATTTCTTTCAATCTTGGATCTTGGATTCTCTGCTCAAAATAACGTTAATATCAATTGTGAATTAGAATTTGATGTACTAAAATAACGCTATTTTCTATTTCGACCTTCAAAGCGAGACCTTTGTCCGTCCGAAAAACAACAGAGCACAAATTGGTATATTTAAAAAATAACAATGTTCATCAAACATTCCAACAGCTTTCATTACTATCAATTTTTCAACAGATCCTTAATCTTAATTGTATTCATGCATGAATCAATACTGCTCAAGCTTGAAATATGTTGTAAACACTCTGAAGCGTTTCAGTTTTAACAGAAATCTACACTTGTGAACATAATATTTGATTTCAAATAAATACGTCTTCTGTGATGTGTGTTTATGTTTATATAGGACCCGCAATATATGTGGAAAATCCAAATTTTCCATTCAGATTCAGTAAGTGACTCACAGAAATATTGAAATACACAGTTTCTTCAACTAACTATACAATTTCAGAAATTTCACATCCAGTCCAAAATAAAATAAGAATGATGAACTTTCTACTGCAGAAGATATTTATTTTGTAAACATAACCAAATGTTAATTAATTTGTTCCCGCAGTCGTACCAGATACCATATAATGTAAATGTCAACATCTAACAACAGATATGAATAACAATGCAATTATGATTCTCGTTCATGCAGGAGTAGAATCCAGAGTGTAATCGAATTGATCACCTACAGACCGGTTTTTGCGTTTTACCCCTGATTAGTGCAGGAAAGATCCAACCTTGAAAGCAATAGATTTCAAACTTGGCTTGACTGCATATGTGAAAACTCCATCTTAGAGAAAGAGTTGTCAACTAGTTACAGTTTCATCTCGTGAGCAGAATTTCAAAAGCGAGAAAGAAGTATCCCATGTACTCTAGCAGAAATCAAAATCAAAGTTTGATGACTGCATGGAAGAGAGAAAAGGGGAGGTGGAGATAATCTGCGATCTTAGCAGGGCATTCGACTGTGTTGACATTCGACATTCGACAGGGCATTCGTTGTGTTTTGATTTGTACTTGTTA